GCGCCCCCCACCCCCACCCCCACCCCCGCCCGCCCCTGCCGGGCTGGCGACCTCTCCCTTCGCCCGGTCCTTGGGTTATCCGGCCCATCCCCCACAACCGGCACGGCCCCAAGCAATCTCTGGATCCCAGCTGGCGCCCCGAGACTGCTGCCACCATACTGGATACCCCTGCCTCTGCTTCTCAGATCCCTGGATTCCCCCAAATCTTCAGACTTTCCATCAGGTCCTACACCGCCCCTCAAATTACCATGCCGCTCAGATCCCTCTTATCCAGCCCTGACCCCATCCCAGTCTCTCTCCCCTTCCCAGCATCCCTCCTCCACCAGCTTCCACCTGCTCTTTAGACACCCCCTAGCTCCCTCTTTCCTATTTCAATCCTTCCTGTCCCTCAGGTCTTCCTACCCCGGAGATTCCACCCCCTTCCCTTTCGCCTTTATTTTGGGGGGATGGGGAAGTGGGGTGGTCAGACAAGGGGCAGCCGGTTCCATCAGATAAAGGGCAATGGAAGGAAATATAATCACATCCCCCCCTTCTGTCCCTGATCTGGTTTCCCCCCTTCCCTCCCCCTTGCCCTTCCTGATTCATTTTGCCCCAGCTCTGGGATGATTCCCCTTCACGTCTGCCGTTGGAGGGCAGGTGGGAGGGGACTGTTTTGTGGACATTTCCAGGCAGTGTCTAGGCCAAAATCCTAGGGAAGGGGCTCTGGAGTGAGATGGGCTCTGGGAGATGCTGGCCTCCACCCCTCCCCAGAGAGCCCTCATCTAGGTCACCAGGGCCTCTTGACCTTGGCCTGGAGCGGCACTTTAGTGGCTCACGTTCCACCTGCGCAGGGATTGGGCCCAGGAGCACTCACCTTCCGCCTGAAGTCTCCTCAGTTCCTGGAGGAGAGGGTGGAAGGACCCACTTGACTAGGTTACTGCCCTCTTCCCCGCCCACCCCCACCCATAGTTGGTATTTCTGTACTTAAACCTGAGGAGGGGGGTGTGCGAGAGAAAAGGCTCTCTCGCCCTGGAGGAAGGACCCAAGTGGGGCAGGGACCATTACCAGAGGATGGATGTTGGGATGGTCAGCCCGAGAGTCACCTCAGGGCATTGGGTCCTCAGCCACTCTGGGCAGTAGGCTGAGGTGATGGGGTGGGCCACAAAGAGAACCAGGGGCCTCTGCTCTCCCCTCTCCATCCCACTCCTCTCTCCCTACTGTTTTCATTGACTTAGGTTTCCTGGCCCAGATTGGGTTTCTGTTTGGGCTGAATTCTACTCCCCACCCAGCATGTGAGGAAGCCCAGGGGCTGAGGAGAGCCCTGGAACAGAATTCGGGGTCTCTGGAAGGGAGGACTGACGCCTGGAGACTGGGAGCTGAGAGCAGTCATCTGTCTCCCCTTTCTGATTAAAGCCTGTCTCCAACTTGGTCTGTCTTTCTTTCTGCCAAATACATCATACATTCACACAGATAAACACACAGCTGAAGATTACACAACCTGACCGTTCATGGCGTCGGCAAAGCCCCCGACACAGAAATGTTGATACACAAATGATGTACACACAGCACATGACACTCCTTCACACTCCACCCATGCACAGATTGATCACAGCCTGCCTAGACACACACAGACACACCCCTTCTTCCCCTGTTTGGCTTTTCTTTGAATAGGACCTGGGCTTCCAGGAGGTAAAAAGTGAGTCACTGAGAGGGGCTGCTTCCAGCCAAGGGCAGGCCAAGAAATGGACACCTGTCAGCCAGACCAGTTACCTGAAGCTGGTTGTGACTCCTGCCTCCACTACTACCTACTGAGGCAGCCCATGTCACAGGATGCTAAAGCCCTTTCCTGACATTAGCCCCAACCAGCCAGGGGAGCAGAGCAGAGCCAGGACGTGTGGGCTCTCCAGCCTCCAACCACCTTCTTCCCCCTGCCTCTTGTTCCTGTGTCTCACTGGGAAACATGAAGACCTAGGGTAGAGAGAGGAGCTCAGCTGAGGATCTCAGGACCCCCAAGTCCCCAGAAACTCTTTTTCACTTGATCCTTCCACCTGGAAGATAAGGCTTCAGCTCTAAGTTGGTTCCTTCTTATGAGAGGTCCCAGCCATCACCCAATCCTCCTCAGCCTCAGCTGCATTCCAGTCTCGCCTCTCCCTGGCCGCCTAGGGGCCAGAAGGGAGGAGGACTGTGCAGGGAGGCAGTTTTCTTGCCTCTGGCCCCTGGCGTCATCCCCTGAGAGCAGAAGGCCTCAGAGAGAAACTCCCATCCTCTCCCCTCCTCATGTGAACTCTTGGCAGGAGACTGCAAAGACATCTGCTGACCCAGGGTGGGGGCAGAGACTGTTCCTAATCCCGCCCAGCCCCAGAGCCCTGCCCCAGAAGCCCTGCGATCAGGGAGAGAGAGCTCAGAAGATCTCTGGGCTGCCTCAGGCCAGCCCAGGTTCTTCAGTTCCCCCTACTTATTCCCCATTATTCGCTAGAGCCACCTACTCTCTCCTGAGTTCTTTTACTCCCTTTAGAAGCTGTTGCCTTAAAGAGGTCCAGGGAGGGAGTGTGTTAGGGCAACCTGGGGCCCAGAGATGGGAAGCTGGGAACATCTGTCTCCTGGGACCAGGAGCTTGGCTTGGTAGACAGTCTTGCCTGAGTGGGGGCCAAAAGAGTTCAAAGGCCTCAACTGAAAGCCCTAGAATCTGGAATGCTTTGGGACTTCCCGTCAGTGGGCCTCTAGCGGGTCAGCCCAGCTATAGGAGATAGGTCAAGGGGACAGAGTCGGATCTTCATGGTGTGATGAACAGAGACAGCAGTCCCAGTTCAAGTTCCAGCTCTGCTGTTAACTCATGGTGTGACCTTGGGCAAACCACTTCTACTTACTGTCAAATGGGAGCATTGGGCCAGTTGATCCCTCAGGTCCCTTTCAGTGCTGTGAAGACTAGGCTGGGAAGGAATAAGGAATCAGAGGCATGCGGGGGTCAGGGGGAGGGGGCTCTGGGGACTTTGGTTCAACCCAGCTGCTGCCAGTGGGGGTATGATGGACATGAGCTTGTGCTGGGGTTCCTGGCTCAGCCCAGCCTGCCTCCACAGATGGACCCTGTGCAGAAGGCTGTGCTTTCCCACACTTTTGGGGGACCCTTGCTCAAGACCAAGAGGCCCATCATCTCCTGTAACGTCTGTCAGATCCGCTTCAATTCTCAGGTAAGAAACCCACCTGCTCACCCACCCACCAGGTGGGGCCGGGGCAGCCAGGGGATCTTGGGGGAGCTCTGGTGAGGGGTAGGGATTAAGGGGGTGTCAGGGGAAGAGCAGGGAATGGGGATACTGCAGGAAGCACAGGAGCTGAGGGAAGGCACCCGAGAGGGACAAGAGGTGGCTATAGATTTTGACACGAAATAGACCAGTCTTCTCAGGCTGCCCCTTCCCTCCTTGGGGACTGGGGCATCCCTGGCTCAGAACTTCTTGGAATATAGGTGGCCATCAGTGTCTGGGTGGCAGTGTGGCCTCCGGCCCACTGATCCTTGGGTGCAGGGCTGAGTTAGGTCATTGGCCCCCCACAGAGCCTGTGCCCTCCTGCCCTCTGCCACCCACTTCCCTCTAACTTCCCAGCTTCCTCCTCTCTCCATCCTTCTCCCTCCAAATCACACACAAGGCCTGGGCCCCTCTCCCTTCCCATGGGACTTTCACATGGGGAGAAGCCACCCAAAATTCAGAACCTAGGTGTCTGGCCTCCAAGATTTCCTCCCTCTGAGGCTCCCCTGGGACTTCTGTGTGGGTCTAAAGGGGGCTTTGTGGGGTGTAGGTTCTGAGAAAAACAGCAGAGCCTCATTCCGCTGAGTAGGGGAAAATAAAGCATGTTCTGTTTCTCTACCCAGTACACACACACACACACACACACACACACACACACACCATGCTGCCAGGCTCTGCACACCACCACCCCACCCCTGGGCTGTCACTCTTCTTTTCCTGCCTATCCACACCTTTTATTTCTACTCTACCCTCTCTGGGTGACCTTGTGGCTCCAGGATTGTATGTTCTCAGCAGGGGGTGCATATGTGGGGGGGGAGGGGTGGAACCAGGACCAGCCAGCTTTAGGCCTTCCCTTTAACTCAACCCCAGGCATCCCCTCTCCCAACCTTGGCTCTACACACTGGTGGAGGGTGGAAGATTGGAGGGGTGGGGGGCCAACAGCAGGCAGCCCTCCCTGCTTTTTGTACTCCCCTTCCCTCCCCCACTAAGCAGCTCTGTTTTGACAGCTGTCTCTGCTGCTGTGTCTGTCTCCAGAGCTGGGCTTAGGGCCAGGGTCCTCCAGGGTGTCCGCAGAGGCTTCAGGGAAAATGAGATCCAGGGGGCAGTAATAAGGGTAGAGCCCGGGCCTCAGAGCTCCTGGGACGCCCAGCCTAAGGGTAGAAGCAGAGAAGGCTGTATCCTGGGCCAGGGGATCCAAGAGGCTGGGGGTCTAAGAGGATGCTGACTGGCTGTACTGCTAGGCCCTACCCATTTAGGAGTCTACTATAGGTTTGGGGTGCCCCTCCCTCACCCCAGGACTAGGTGGGAAGCCTGAGACAGCAGCCAGGCCCCAGGTGGGTGGTGGGGTGGAGCTGGCTAGTGGGGATCCAGGTTCCCAGCGACTCAAGCTTGAGAAGCTAGTCTGAACCCTAGGAATAACCAGGGCTCCTTCGCATGGGGCTTTACATCTCGCTGGTATCGGGAGAGATTCACTGCAGCCTGCTGGGACCACCCTAGGACCTGAAGGAGCTCTTGAGGAGAAAGGGCAGATGAAAGGTGATCTCAGATTCCATTCTCTTCCTCCATCCCTAAAGAGCCAGGCCGAGGCGCACTACAAGGGTAATCGCCACGCCCGAAGAGTTAAAGGCATCGAGGCTGCCAAGACCCGGGGCAGGGAGCCTGGCATCAGGGAACCTGGAGACCCAGCTCCCCCAGGCAGCACCACCCCAAATGGGGATGGTGTAGCCCCCCGTCCAGGTGTGTCTGACTCCCCCCATGTTCTTCCACTGATTTTTGTCTCCTCTGTCCTTCCTCCATTTCCCAGAACTCTCCTCTGCTTTCCTCTCCTTCCTCATCCCCCACCCCACCCTCCTCTGAGGTAAGTCCTGGGACCAAGCACAGCGATGCAAAATTTCCATCCTGTCACCCCCCACTTCCACCCCAGCTCCTCTCAATAAAGTCCCCACTGTCTGTCCTCCCTACCTCCCAGTGACTCAAAGAGGGGCTAGGGTGAGGCCACCTGGCAAACTTCCTCAAGAAAAAGGGAGCCATCACATCCAGGGAGAGGCCCCTTCATCTTGGGGAGGGGACAGAGGAGGGAATCAGGATATCTGAGGGCCTGCCCAATGGGGCTCCCTTCAAGGATGACCGAGAGTCCAAAAACCCAGGCAACCCCTTGTTGATCTCGGGTGGATCTTTTGACCTTTCTGGGCCTGAGTTTTCTTTCCTGGGAAATGGGGGAGTGAGCCTTTAAGATCTTTGAGGTCTTTTCCGGGTTTACAAAAAGCAGCTCTGAGATTCGTTCTCTCTCATGGCTGATGGCCATCCTCAACCATCCTCCCAGCCAAGAAACTCGAAAGAAGGAATATCAAGACAAGAAGATATGAGCCATTCCCACCCTGGGATTGCCACATCAGATGTCAGTCATGGCCAATTCCAGAGAGACCCAACATCCCCATTTCCTCCTTATCCTTGCCTGTCCTCCCTGCCCCACCCTAAGTAGGATAAGAACCAAGCATACGCACCACCAGCTTGGGAACCAGACCCCCACTCTCACCACACACACATACACACGGCAGTCAGGCGGGCTGAGTTCTAATTGTACTCTGACTGCTTCTCAGCCTGATCATCTTGGATTAACTTGTTAATATATCTGGAAATGGTGATGATGGTTGTAGCTAACATTTCTGGAATAGCACTGTTCTAGGTGCTGTACACATATTACTTCGTTTAGTTCCTACAGTATCTCTCAAAGGAGTTAATAATACCTGCCCTGCTTTTGTAAGCCATGAAGTCCTGTCCAGATTGAGATGTGAATGTGCTGTCTGGATCAGGATGGAGGTAAAGGATGTCTGAAATGAGTAAGAGAACTAAAAGGAAAGATCACAGGATGGACAAGCAAATGGACACCTGCAGGGGTCAGGAGGCCTCCTCCCACCAGCTCCCCACCCCTACTGCCAGCCTCCCCATGACCCGGAAACTGGATCAGCTGCTGGAGCAAGAATGGGAGCGCTAGAGTTTCCCCTGTACAGAGGCCAGAACCCAGTGCTGAGGCCTGGGGCCTGTGCATCTTTAATCGAGCCATGAATTATAGAGCAGCCTGCATCCCTGTTTCTTCCTTCTCCAGTTCTGCTGTTTCTGTTTCCCTTTTGCCATGTCTGTGTCTGTCTCTCTCCCAGCCTCTCCTCACCCTGCCTCTGCCCCTTCCTAGAGCTCTTTGGCATGCCTCCCTGGGGATTGGGCAGGACTCTGGGAAGGGGCTGGCTGGGCAGGAAGCCCAGGCTGGCTGGCAGGCCATTGAGGGGTGAATCCTTGTTCCATGCCTCTCCCCCGGCTAGGCTGGCTGCCAGCTTTACCCTGAAGGGAGGTTGGTGGGGCTGGACCCCTCAGGCATTCCCAGCTTATGGAGAAAGAGCAAGGCATAAGAGTCTCACACCCAGCCTATGGCAGCTGGACCACATCTGGCTCTGGCCCAGGGCATGAGAGCATGCATGTTGTCACAGGGTGGGGATCCCTGGGCCCTTGCCCTCCAGGAAATGGGGGTGGGTCTCTTCCACATAAAGAATCTTCTCCAAAAGCCATCTGGGGTGACCCCTGTGTTTCTCCCCCAACAACAGTTTCCATGGAGAACGGACTGGGTCCCGCCCCAGGATCCCCAGAGAAACAGCCTGGCTCCCCATCCCCTCCCAGCATTCCGGAGACTGGTCAGGGTGCAACCAAGGGGGAAGGGGGCACTCCAGCCCCAGCTTCCCTGCCTGGTGGTAGCAAGGAAGAGGAGGAGAAGGCCAAGCGGCTGCTCTACTGTGCTCTGTGCAAGGTGGCAGTGAACTCCTTGTCCCAGCTCGAGGCACATAACAAAGGTATGGACTCCCCTGCCCCCACCCCCTGCCCCTGTCCTCAGCCCACTCCTGCTCCCTACATCCCAACTCCCCTGGCTTCCACAATCCTTGGACCCTTAAGATCTACCTGCCTTTCTCCCTCCCTAATCATCTCCCCCATTTCTTAGCCCCTTCCTTCCTCAGTCCCCCTACCTTACTTCTTTTACCTACTTCGTTCCCTTGACCCACCTTGTGTTTGGGAGGATCCCAAGGGGCTTGGAGAACCCCCACACTTGATGCCCGCCCCCCCCCCCCCCCCCGCCATTGTAAGTGGGAATGTGGGTATTGAGGCCAAATAGGCCTGGAGAATTTTTCCTCCACCCCTTATCTCCTGCCTTCTGTGGGCTTCAGGTACCAAGCACAAGACAATTCTGGAGGCCCGAAGTGGGCTGGGCCCCATCAAAGCTTACCCTCGGCTGGGGCCTCCCACTCCCGGGGAACCCGAGGCCCCTGCCCAGGACCGAACCTTCCACTGTGAGATCTGCAATGTCAAGGTCAACTCGGAGGTCCAACTGAAACAGGTGGCTGCAAGGCCCTTCCCAGGAATTCTGGGCAGCTCCACCAGCTAAGGGGGGAGGGCGAACAGGGAACTTGGGTGAGGGGTCTTCCTCAGAATCTTCCCTTGGTGCCACAGAAGGGGCGGGGCCAGGTGCTTGGGCTGGGGGGGCGGGGGGGGCATTACCAGTTACCACTGTCATGGCCCTGCCCTCTGGCTGTTGCTCCTTTCCCAGTGGCTCACAGCCCCCTACCCACTCGCCCCTGCAGCACATTTCCAGCCGGCGGCACCGAGATGGCGTGGCCGGGAAGCCCAACCCGCTACTGAGCCGTCACAAGAAGCCTAGGGGCGCCGGGGAGCTGACGGTGAGGCCTGGGTGCTGGAGAACCAGCACTCGGCAATAGAGGGACTGGAGCGGGGAGGCGAAGCGGACGCGAGTGGGCCCAGGAGAGGAGGCGGTTCGCAGGACCACAGAATGACTTCTCCCTCTCTCTCTTTCCCCGCCCTCTCCCCCCTGCAGGGCACGCTGACTTTCTCCAAGGAGCTCCCCAAGTCGCTGGCCGGCGGCCTGCTCCCCAGCCCCCTGGCGGTGGCTGCGGTGATGGCAGCCGCAGCAGGCTCCCCGCTGTCCCTGCGCCCGGCCCCAGCCGCACCTCTCCTCCAGGGACCGCCGATCACCCACCCCCTGCTCCACCCGGCCCCCGGGCCCATCCGAACTGCGCATGGACCCATCCTCTTCTCCCCCTATTGACCTGAACCATGAACCCCCTCCCATTCGACCCCCCCCCCCCACCTCCAGCCGGGACCCAGGCCTCCGGGCTCCCAGCCCGCCCCTCCTCCCGGCACTCCCTGAATGATCTCTCTCCTTCCCCCCCCACCCCGAGGTACGGGGTTCCAGGAAAGGGGAGGGGTAGCGGGGAAGGGGGGCTTCAGAAGGGGGGGAACACCCCAGATCTCAGGGAACCCCGCCCCCTGCCCTTTTCCCTCTCCCTTTCCCTAGAAAAGGGGGGGCCGTCTCACCCCCAAGTCCCCTTGGAGACACCCCCCTCCCAAAAGCCATGTCCATCCAGCCCTTCCCCCCCAAACCTAGCACAAAACGGGGTTCACAAGCCATGGTCGGGGTCCGGGGGACAGAAATGGATTTTCTTGGCAATAAGCGGACTCTGGGACTCCGGCCCCCTATCCCCAAACTGAAGCGCTTCCGTGAACACCCCCGTCCTCCGCAGGGGGAGGGGAGCAGGCGGGATCCTCGGTCCCTCATAAGCACTTTGGTTTTACCGCCTGCAACCTCACTGTGCCCGCCCCGCACCATGCCCCAGCCCCAGGTCTAGCCGGACCCCTCGCAGGGGGCAGTACTTGGGGGCATCTCTGGCACTTGGGTGGGACCAAGTAGATGCCCCTATAGACCCTTCCCTCATCTTCTTCCTCCCCAGTCTGGATTCCATTCTTTTCACCAGCACCCATCGCCCAAGGGGTACCGAGGGGGGCAAGGGGTGTCCAGTCCAAGCCCACCCCCGCCTCGCCTTCCGCAAAACTGTGAGCAAAAAGCAATAGAAGCCTCGCCCCCGCCCCTCCCCTTCCCGCAGGATTCGCAGAGTCTGTAGCCTCCCCCATCCCAGATCCTATAGACCTCATGGCTGTCCCCTCCGACCAGACACCTCCACTGCACAATTCGGGCGGGGGCGTGACCTCCCCCCCCCCCCCCCCCCACCTCTGTGGTTTCCATATCGTCAGCCCTTCCAGCCGCCGACCCGGGAGCGGGACGGGCCCCCACTGGCCTTCCCCTCCCCATCAACTCTTTCTGCTTGACGATGTAGCAACCCCGGCCCCCCATCCTCGTCTTTCCCTTTTCCCCCTCCCTGACAATAAAGTCTGGATTCGTTGCCCTCCGCCCCCCAGACTCAGACTCTCAACTTTGCCTGCTGTTTTGGGAGCAATTCCATGGGGAAGATGTATTCGTATGGTGAGGGGGGCCGGGACACAGGAAAGGGGCCAGAAGGAGGAGGGGGACCCGAGGCTTGTGCAAAACGAGCAGAGGCTCCCGGCCCCACCCACCTTCCCTCCCTCCCGCCCAGCTCAAGTGTAAACTTGGCCCTGGGGAATTGTTTCGAGTCCGGGTCTCGGATCGCAGCCAGGGCTGTTGATAATTCTGGGCGAGTCCACCAGGAGGCGCCAACGACATGGAAAAGACGTCTCCCTTAGGCTAAGGCGCTCCTGTGATGCGTCTCGATCTAGAGAGACAGGTCTAGACCCAGATCCGGACAAAGGAAAGAATCCAGGCTTTTGTGCCTCTGGTGGGAAACCCACGCCAAAGACACGCAAGGCATGGGAAGAAATGGGGCAGGGACTGGGAAATCTAGGTTCTAGGCTCTGCTCGGCCTCATGTACATAGTGATCTTGGGTTAGTCCTTCCCCTCTCTGGACCTCAGTTTCACCATCTGCAAAATGAGCAGGTTTGGGTCTCTCTTAAAAATTCATTGAGGCTTCATTTATCCAAGACTAAAGAACTGGGGCCGTGCCATTTACAGATAAGCTAGCATACCTTCTCATCTGATCCCTTAAATGGTCTGTGGGACAGGGGAGCACACTCTGCTCAGCTGACTCTCACCTGATGTGGCGGGAAGGAGTCTCTTTATTTCCAGAATTCAGTTCAACTACACGATCCCAAGAGCAGCCAGTGACTCTGTGACCCCCTCCCTCTAGCCACTGGGTGGCAAGAAGTTCAAACAGAAAGGTCAGACCAGAACCCAGCATCCCCAAGGGGTCCTCCTGAGTTGCATCTTCTTTGCTCACTTCCCCCCTCTGTACCCACTTCCCAATCTTGCAGACGAAAGGGGGAGGGAAGGTGAGATGAGGACTGTTAAAGAGGAAGGAGGAGGGACTAGGGGCCTCCTGGGTTTTCAACTGTGAAGTGCGGGGTGGGAGTTCACTGTGGGTTCAGAAATGGAACAAGGAGTTTTCAGGTTTTTTTCAGGTTAATCTAGCTCCAAAAAAGGCAGAGACTAGAGATCCAGAAGTCTGACACAGAGTTGGGGCTGAAAGAAACTGGGGTTAGGGCCCAGCCTGGTGGCATAGTGGTTAAGTTCATGCTGTCTGCTTCAGTGACCCAGGGTTTTGGGGTTCCGATCCAGGGCACCACAGACTGACACACCTCTTATCAAGCCATGCTGTGGCAGCATCCCACATACAAAGTAGAGGAAGACTGGCATAGATGTTAGCTCAGGAACAATCTTCCTCAAGCAAAAAGAGGAAGATCAGCAACAGATGTTAGTTCAGGGCCAATCTTCCTCACTAAAAAAAAAAAGAAAGAAAGAAATTGGGGTTAGAGGGGCTGAGACACTAGCATGCACCACAGGTACCTCAAACCTGGTTTAAAACTGAATTCACGACGAAACTCTTTCCCTAAGCCTACTGCACTTCTCACATTCCCTCTTTTTTTTTTTGAGGAAGATTAGCCCTGAGCTAACATCTGCCTCCAATCCTCCCCTTTTTTGCTGAGGAAGACTGGCCCTGAGCTAACATCCGTGCCCATCTTCCTCTGCTTTATATGTGGAATGCCTGCCACAGCATGGTTTGACAAGTGGTGTGTAGGTCTGCACGCAGGATCTGAACTGTCAAACCCTGGGCCGCTGAAGGGGAACATGCGAACTTAACTGCTGTGCAACCAGGCCAGCCCCAAAATGTAACCATTTTAAACTGGAAGAAACATCCCTGGCTCATGGCCCACACAAAAACAGATGGTAGGCCAGATTTGGCCCAAAGCTAAAGTTTGCTGACACCCCCCCCCACCCCCCGCCACTTTAGAGAACCAATTAAACATTTATATATTTACATATCTGTCTCCTCTCCTAAACGATGCACAAGCTCGGGTATCAAAACTTCTTGGGGCTGCCCAGTGGCATAGTGGTTAAGTTAGTGCAGTCTGCTTTGGCAACCTGAGGCTCACACGTTCGGATCCCAGGCATGGACCTACACACAAGCTCATCAAGCCATGCTGTGGTGGTGTCCCACATAAAATAGAGGAAGATTGCCACACATGTTAGCTCAGGGATAATCTTCCTCAAGGAAAAAGATTGGCAACAGACATGCCAACCTTCCTCACCAAAAAAAAACAAAAACAAAAACTTCTTGTATCCCCAGTGTCTAGCTCAGAGCCCGGTGAGTAGTAGGCACTCAGTACATATTTGTTGAGTGAATGGATGAATGAATGAGTGAATGATTGAACAGGAGCCTGAGCTCCTGTGGGAAGTGAGCCAGAATCCTGGAGGCTTCATTTCCCACTTTCCTTCATCTGACTCCTTTTCTCAGACGTGCTAAAGTATCACATGGGACCCTCTGACTTGAACCACCTCCAAGTCCTGGAGAGAGGGGAGGTGGTGTTCCCCCAAGACAAACTCAAGGCTTCTGGGGTGCCTAGAGTTGCTCCTGAAACTTGGTCTTGCCCTCTGGCCCCTTGAGAAGTGGCCCAGATAGTCGGACACCCTTGTGCCCCTGTCTCGACACCTCTCAGCAATGACCTTATAGGTGTCTGCCACGCAAAGAGAGGAAGGAAAGGGAGCTTGGGTCTCAGGAAGGAGAAAGGAAGGAGTGAGACGACTTTGAGGCAAGTAGCGGGGGAGTTTCAACAGAGAAGCCCAGATTTCACTAGCCAAAGCAAAATGAATAGGACCGGAGGCGAGGGAGGAAGTGGCTGAGGTTGGGTAACTGGGGAGTTTCTTATTATTACAGTCTATTAAAATAGGACACTTGAGAACAGGGGACCTCCTGTTTGAAGCTTGACTGCCCACCAGAAAGCACTGCTCTTTGAGTGAGCTGGACTTCTTCCCCTGGAGAGAGAACTGAAGGCTGACAGACTCCAGTGAGTACCTTTGTGGTGGGCATACTTTTACTTTCTCTGTCTCTTCATCTCCCAGGTGGTAAAAACAGAAAAAACTGAAGTGTGTATGTGTGTGCAGTGGAGAGGGGCAGAGGGGGCTATGACAGCATGGTGAATACAGAGAGGGGAATCCTGGGTGGTCTTAGGGGACAGGGGAAGAATCTAGAAAGGTTGGAGGGCACTAGGGTTACTGAGAGTATTTGGATGGATGTTGAAGAGGCCTGGAGTTTGCAGTGGACAGAGACTAAGAGATATTTAGATAAGAATTTGGGGAAATCTTTGACAATGGGAAAGGACTGAGATTATCTAGGGAGGGGTTTGGAGATCTTTGGATGAAGAGGCCTGGGAACGGCTTGGGAGGCAGGTGAGCTCCCGGAGCAGTTCAAGTGTCCAGGGGCCCAGAGTTGTTCAAGAGATCTAAGTTCAAGGTCAGGTTCTGACTCCCTCTTCCTCTTCCTCCAGCCCCCCTTCAGCCTGCATCATGTGGAACAACTCTGATGCCAACTTCTCCTGCTACCACGAGTCTGTGCTAGGCTATCGTTACGTTGCAGTTAGCTGGGGGGTGGTGGTGGCTGTGACAGGCACCGTGGGCAACGTGCTCACCCTGCTGGCCTTGGCCATCCAGCCCAAGCTGCGTACCTGCTTCAACCTGCTCATCGCCAATCTCACAGTGGCCGATCTCCTCTACTGCACCCTTCTCCAGCCCTTCTCGGTGGACACCTACCTCCACCTGTACTGGCGCACCGGCACTACCTTCTGCAGAGTCTTTGGGCTCCTCCTCTTTGCATCCAACTCTGTCTCCATCCTCACCCTCTGCCTTATAGCCCTGGGACGTTACCTCCTCATTGCCCACCCTAAGCTCTTTCCCAAAGTTTTCAGTGCCAAGGGGACAGTGCTGGCACTGGTGGGCACCTGGGTGGTGGGTGTGGCCAGCTTTGCCCCTCTCTGGCCCATCTATATCTTGGTGCCCGTAGTTTGCACCTGCAGCTTTGACCGCAAGCGAGGCCGGCCCTACACCACCATCCTCATGGGCATCTACTTTGTGCTTGGGCTCAGCAGCATCGGCATCTTCTACTGCCTCATCCACCGCCAGGTGAAGCGAGCAGCACAGGCTCTGGACCAGTACAAGCTGCGCCAGGCAAGCATCCGCTCCAACCATGTGGCTGGGACAGATTACCCCATTCCTGGTCGTTTCCAAGAGCTGGACAGCGGGCTGGCATCAGGAGGGCCCAGCGAAAGAATTTCTTCTGAGCCAGTCAGTGCTGCCACTACCCTGGAAGGGGACTCCTCAGAAGTGGGGGACCAGAGCACCAGCAAGGTAGCTAAGCAGAAGGCAGAGAAAAGCTCTCCAAGAGCACCTGCCAAGGCCAGGCCAACTAAAGGAGCCCAGAGAGCTCAGGACTCGCCATCAGACTTTGGGAAGGTGACTCAGATGTGTTTTGCTGTGTTCCTTTGCTTTGCCCTGAGCTACATCCCTTTCTTAGTGCTCAACATCCTGGATGCCAACACCCAGGCCCCCCGGGTTGTCCATATGCTTGCTGCCAACCTCACTTGGCTCAATGGTTGCATCAACCCTGTGCTCTATGCAGCCATGAACCGCCAGTTCCGCCAAGCCTATGGCTCCCTCCTAAAAAGAGGGCCCCAGAGTTTCCGTCGGTTCCATTAGAACTGTGTCCCCAGTCACCAGAATCTGGGACTGTCTCCTCCAGAACTCAAGCAGCCAGCTCTTGTGGGAGTACATGAAATGTCTGTGGACATTTTTACAGACAACCTTCCAGTAACCCCCAAACCAGGCATCTCCATCCCCTGCTCAATGTTTTAGCCTTAGGCTGCCCAAGGCGCATTACTAATTATTAATAAATGAATTTCCTCCTTTTAATGCTCATATGTGGTCTTTGTGGAAGAAGGAAACAGGCCAGGGTTGGTTTGCAGCTAGAACCTAATAGTTGAAGGTTTAGGGGAAACTGAGGTCGTAACAGGGACAGGAAGCAGTGGGCCCAGGACAGAGCCTTCAGCTGAGTGGTTTCCAGGTCTAAAACATGTGAGTTGGTTTAAGAGGATCAGCCTGCCTTTTTGTTTAACTTCCCTGAAACAGCCCCTGCCCCTAACTACTGCTGCCAGGATCCCCCATCCCTACAAACAGGAATTTTCACTCAAAAAAGTTTTGTAATCCAGCTTTGACAGCCACTCCAGTGAGTCTAGCCCCCTGGCCCTCACCCTACCCAAAGAGAATGGCCATGGAAAGGACTCCTTGCTCTGTGGAAATGGAAGTGACCTTAGCTGGGGCAATGGCAGGCAGGACTTCTAGCTGTCCTAGTTGGGTCATACTGGCTGGAGCTAATTCACCTGGGGCCTGGCCCCCCACTTCCCCTAGACTTGCTCTTGTCATCCTGGGTTATAAAAGCAGAACAGAAACTCCAGTTAAAAATGCTCAGGGGCTGGCCTCGTGGCCTAGTGGTTAAGTTCAGTGTGCTCTGCTCCAGCAGCCCCAGTTCGATTCCTGGGTATGGCCCTATACCACTTGTATGGGTGGCCATGCTCTGGCGGTGACCCACATACAAAATGCAGGAAGATTGGCACAGATGTTAGCTCAGGGGGTATCTTCCTCAAGCAAAAAAAAAAAAAAAAGGGAAGATTGCCAACGGATGTTAGCTCAGGGTGAATCTTCCTCACCAAAAAGAAAAAGAGAGAGAGAGAGTGCTCAGGGGCCAGGCTGAGGGGGATCATACCATTCCCTTCCTCCAGCAGGACCAACGGGCTAGTGCCCCTGCGCGTGCGCATGAGCAAACTTAAAGCACTTGTGGCCACCAGGTGACGCTGGTTCTCTGTGTTTCCTTTCTGGCTTCCCTGTTGAGGACAGAAGGTGTCAGTGAGACTGGGAATCCAGAGACACCCACCCCCTCCAGGCCAGAAGGGGTGGAGACCCAGAGATCTGCACCCCTCCCTCTGGCCCAAAGCTTAGGAAGAAAAATGAATTAGACATTTATTATTCATAAGATATTTATTGTCTACTTGGCCGGGGTGGAGGGAGCCCACAAGCGCAGGGTGGGCACTGTGCTGGCACTGGGGATGGAATGTGATAGTCATGTAGACAGTGACGCTACTCTGGCTGCATGCTGTCCCTTCCCTGCCCTCAAGGCCACAGTTGGAGAGAACAAAGTGAAGTCCAGAGAGATTCAGACGAGGGCAGAAAGAACCAGAGTCACGGTGGACAGACGGATGCCCTCACCTTCAACACACTCCCAGGGCCCAGGAATCCTGCCTCCTAATCTGGAACGTGTGCTTCCCACCGTCCTCCTTCCACAAAAATCACAGCAGCCTAAACTGAGCCAAGTCCAGGCGACTGAGGCAGGGGCCCTGACGGGTGGGGTGAACAGGAGGACCAACAGTGCACATCAGCCTGGGGGTGTAGACAGCGGGGTGCAGCTAAGGCTCTCTGATGATTAGCTCTGTGAACTTGAGCAGGACCCTAGACCTTTCTGGGCCTCAGGTTTTATCAATTGTACAAAGATGGGGGCAGGGGGTACTCTTATCTTGTACCCAGTGCTGTCCTAACTCCTGTAAATATATTATTTCATGTAATCCCCACAGAATTTACCATGAAGTATTCATCATAATCTCTTGCTTACAAGTGAAAAAATTGCAGCACAAATAGGTTAAGCAATTTGTCCAAAGTCAAGGGCTAGTAAGTGGCATGACCATGATTTGAGGGCAGAGAGTCTGACTCCAGAGCCAGCACACACGTCTAACCACTACAGGGCAGCAGCCTTTGTAAAACTAGAATCAAATGACCAGATGATCTCTAAGAGTCCTTCCTGCTCAGACGTTCTAAGGTTCTGAAAGTTGACAATTCTCTGAAGGGCTGTAAAAGGGTTCACTTTTCATAGTCCTTGAACGGAATTCAAAAGGTTTGGCGAGTAGAAAGGAGCAGCAAGAGGGATTGAGGTTAGACACCAGGAGGGACTTCCCAATTATCAGTCGCTGGAAAAAATGACTCAGGGGACACAGGAGGAAACCCCAGAGTCTGCGACCAGAGAGGATAGAGCTGAGCAAGAAAGCAACCCCCTCCTCTCTCACCCTCCACAGCCCACACACCCACCCCCGCCCCTAATTTCGATAAGGGTTGGGGAAAGGGGCGGCAGATTATCTCTCAGGCTTTCTCTCGCAGGTGTGCATGGCGCGTGGGTGTCCACGCACGAAGTCCCTCCTGGTGAGGAGCTCACGCGTGTCTCGGGGAAGTGTTTGCACTTGGGGGCCCTCCTGAGCGTGAGTCAGTGTCTGGCTCTGGCTCTCCATCTCTGTCAGTCTCCTGCCCGACTTTCTGACGCTCCCTCTCAAGGCTTCTCTTTGTCTCTCTCCATCTGTCCGTCTCTCCTGTAGGCTGTCTTCATCTCTGGTACCTCTGTTATCGCCTTTCTTTCTCCTAAGCTCGTTCTCTCCCCCCTCCCAGTGCTCGGCTCCCCCCGCGCCCCCTCCCCGCGCCCCCTCCCAGTGCTCGGCTCCCCCCGCGCCCCCTCCCCGGCCCCCCGCCCGGCCCCCCGCCCGGCCCCCAGCCCTGGCCGCGCTCGCTCGCTCGCACACTCTCTCTCTTTCGCTGTCTCTTACAGGCAGATTTATGGTCAGCCCAGGGCCTTTCATTGGCCAAGCGCTGACAGCACTTGATTTAACGCCGCCTCTCATTGGCTGAGCTTGACAGGCCGATTTACGAGTCACTCTACCATTGGCCGAACGGCCTTGGCCCTGATTGATGGCTCGGCGGCTGCGGGGAGGGGGGCGCAGCTGGGGGGTGAGGCCGCCTTCCCCTCGCCGCCGCTTCCGCCTCCCGCTCCCCTGCTTTTTCTCCTCTTTCTCTCCCTCCCCACGAGGAACTGCGCTCCCTCTACCTGTTCCTACCGCCCTCCTCCCTTCTCTTTCACCCAGCGGGAGGGGAAAATGGGGTGCGTGGGGGGGACTGAAGCCGAGGGGGGTCTGAAGGGGTACACATGGGCGGAGGAGTCCGAGGGGCCGAGTGGGGGTAGAGTAAGGAGAGAAAAGGAGGTTGGAGAGAGCAGGGGAAACGGGGCGAAAGGGGTGAGAGGAAAAAAGGAAGGCTGAGGGAGAGCAAGAGGTGAGGGTCTGACAGAAGGAAGAAGGAGAGACTTTCAAAGGGCGCGGCTGAGGGGCTGAGGCGGGAGGTCCGGGCACCGAGAGAGACTTTCCCAACCTCTCTCTAGACTGAATGAGAGACGGAAATGTCCTCTTCAGACAATGGCTCTGAAAAGGGAGAGGCTTAGAGGAGCAAAGCCAGAGAGAGAGGCGCCATAGAGAGGGGAGAGCTGAGAGGAACAGGGAAGAACTGGAAGGTAACAGCGAAGATAAGAGGGAGGGAGCAGGATGGAGAACTAAGGGAGAAGACAGAACTCAGGTTGGTTTTTGTTTGCGGGCTGGTGAGAAAAGACTCATCCCCAGCGGAACTGGAGAGAGAAACGGCTACTCCTCCTGTCAGTGGAGGCCCACTGGCGTCTGCAGTGGGGACGAGTCAGGCACCTCCCCCAGGAGATGTTCTGCTTCGTCGAGGCTGCACTGGGCTCCGCTCTCCCTGCACCTCACTCCTCCCCCTTGCCCACCTCCCCGGTTAAATTTATGAGTTCAGGGCTGGCCTTCAGGAATTAGGAATATTTATGCTTCTTTGAGAGTGAGGTTTGGAAGGTGATAAATAAGGGGCCGTGGGGTGGGGGGGTGCAGCTAGGGGCTCCTATTTTTAGCGTGGCCACTTTCCCAAGGCCCCCACCCACCAATTCCCTCTCATCCTGAGCCAGAAGAGGGAGCACTGAGGGAGGTGGGGAATGGGTTTCAGGTATCAGGAAGAGGGTTTGACTATCCTGGAGGGCCCCTCAGAGGACTGCAGAGCTTTGCAGCAGAAAGGATTGAAGGCAGAAGGGGGAGGAACTTTCCAAGCATCCTGGCATTCTGATAGCCCCTGGAGGGCAGTTACAGCATTTCTGCAGAAGATGGGGAGAAATGAGGAGAAGCCAGTTTCCCCTCTGTCCGTCTAAGCTCAGTTGCTGAGGAATAGGGGAGAGAAGCCAGGAAATTCAGAGGCAGGTTTCTCTGGCATGTCACCTCCCTCACAGGGAGAGGAAGATGTGAAATCTGCCACCCCCTGCAGACCACAGCCTGGGTCCCTGGGAAAGGAGGCTAGGAATGTGAGGCTCAGGGCATCTCCTAGGAGCCTCAACCTCCAACCTGTCCACCCCCACTGCTGGCTGAGAATTAAAAACTGCCAGGAGTTCTGGATACTCCTTGTCCTCCCTGGGCCTCCAGGAAATGAGGGAGGGAGAGAGGATCTGTCCCGGGGATCCACATGCCTTCTCCAGCCCTCAGCTCCAGCAGCCATGTGTCTGTGACCCCTGGCCCAGTCAGAGGGCTTGCTCTGGGCCTGGGTAGGTAGTGAACAGAGATGGGGGTCCGTGAAAGAAGGGGTGTCTAAAGAGAACAGAGAGAGCTGGGGAAGAGTCGCCCCACCCTCCCTACACACACACACACACACACACACACACACACACACACTATGGCCTTAGCAAGGATGGCCAGAGTACATGTGAACATGTGTGCGCACACACACACACCCCCTAGACTGTGCTGCCTGGAGTGGGAGGAAAAGGGAGGGAGAAAAGGGTCTAGACTGGCCCTTTAAGAGCCACTTAGGGTCAGAAAGCCTGGGCTACAGAGAGGGGAAGGAGCTGATGTCAGAAGACGGATGGGCAGCAAGATGGGGATTGATGCTAATGGGGGAGTTAAAGCTAAGTACCCAGACACTCAGAGGGCAGAACTGCAGATCTGTCTTCCTTATGCTCACACCACCCCCCCCCCCCAAACCAAGGCCGTAAATCTGCCTTCTGAATTGGGGGAAGGGGGAGTGAGGAAAAACGAGATGCTCTCTTCTCCCTTTTCCTGTTTTTTCCTTACCCTGTGCCACCCCCACCCCTCCAGTTCTTTTGTCCTTTCCCAATCTCTCTTCAAAATCCATGACCCCCTTCCCACTAATATTTCCAATTTTTGGCTTTCCATCAGGGAATGGCTTCAGCTTGCAGAAGAACTTAAAAGGAAACCACAAGAAAGTCTCCCTCACCAGGCCTGGGTGGGAATGGGTTGGTGAGATTATGGTGAGAGACTGCTAGCCTGGAAGCTCCCAGTTGCCTCAGTTTCTCTTCCCTCCACCCTCTTCTCACTTGGAGGTAACTCTAGCAGCCTTCTCCCAGGACAGGAAAGTGAAGGCAGGAAGCAGGATGTTGAGTTCCAGGAGCTGGAAGGGGTACAAGAGCTTCAGAGTTGGGTTTGCGGAGGCCTCTGACACTGAGATTCTTGAGGGGCTAGTGGGCCTCCAAGGGCAGCTAGGGAAGCTACAGGAGCTGTCCACTGAAAGATATATGGTCTGGTTTCTCGGAAACTCCTGGATCACACCGTTCCCTCTCGCGAGCACACACCCTGCCTGCTGAGCAGAGACAATTTCTGGCCAATCATCTATTTACTGTAAAGGCAGGGTCCCGAGGCTCCTCGTACCTCTCCAGAGGCAGTGGGAGATCTCAGAGAAGGCCTTCAGAGGGCTGGAGCTAGTAACTCTTGGGGATTTCCATTTCTTCCTTTGCTTCTAAAGGAGACCTTATCTCCCATCTCTCAGGACCTGTAATCACCCTTTTCTCCCCCTTTACTGGCAATCAGGGCCAGTTCTTGAGAAGTCCCTCTATATTAGAGGAAGATCCTCTCCATCTTATCTGTTGCAGTGCTAAACCTGAACTCCTTTCTAGTCCTGGAAACAGTTGGTGCCTGATTGCTCCCTGGTTTCTGAATCCTCCTCAGAAACCATAAGAGAATGACCCTAAGACATCAACCTCATCTCTTCGCTCCTCCCAGAGTTTCCTTCAGAGGCCTAAAATCCCCTCAAAGCCACTCTCTCTGTTTCCTAAGTCTTCAGGGACAAGAGAGAGAGCAAGGTTGGAGTGGGAAAAGGTGGGGGTTGCGAGCAGGGGCCATTGGAACCCAGGCTTCCAGCCTCCCAGCATCTGGCCAAGCACTGCAACCCATCCTGAGGAGGTCAGCCATTGCCCTCAGCCCTGGTCTCTGGCTGCTTCTCTATCCTGGTGATAAATCCTGCCTTTGTCTTCCCTCCAACCCTGGCCCCAGGCGGCTGGGGGTCAGAGGCTGGGGGAGGGGTCAGTGTGGAGGAGGGAGAGATACAAGGAGAGTGGGAGGAGAAGATGGACAGGAGCAGCTGGTGAGCAGGCATGGGGGGTGGGTAGTGAGGGGATAGGGCCTCTTGATTCTACAGACCCTGACTGCACATTCCAGCAGGCCTGCATTCCACGTGAGAAAGCCAGGATTCTTGAGATATGGAAATCCCTTGGAAATGGCCCCTGGAGCATCAGGAATACTGCAGGATGGGGGTTGGTGTGGGGCGCCTCAAGGAAGGAGGCTGCTGAAAGAAATGGGAGAATGAGAATATTGTGTAAATCATCCCTGTCCCCACCACAGACCCCTACATGTGTGCACGTATGCATACAGACAGACGGACAGACAGACACACACGCACACACACCCAAGATTTACAGCCCATCAGCATGAGGGAGCCCAGGAGAGCTGGCCTGCCCCTCGCCTGGGCCATCCCCAGCTGCCTTCTCTTGCTGTGACTTTCCTGTCTCCATCTCTCCATTCTTTTTCTCTGCTCCCAGCCTTGCTGCTCTCTTTGTGCGGGTTTCTCTCTCTCCCAGTTTATGCTGGCTGTCTGCTAACTCTCAGCCTCTGCCTTTTGTCTCTCGGTCACTTTTTCTCTCTCATTGTGCTTCTCTTTCTGTCTTCCTGTCCCACTCCTCCTCCCTCTCCTACTTCCTTGGACTCTCCATCTGTCCTGCCTCTGCTGCTCTGCAGCCAGCCACCTCCCTACCTCACCACTACCCCGAGCCCTCTGTCTGGCCCAGGACAGCAGGGTTACAAGGAGGGACAGGAAGGAGAAAGAGGCTCTGAATCAGTTTCTGCTTTGGTGAGAGGGCTGGGATCATACTGTGTTATGATATGGGATGGGGGGGGGGGGGAGGCCAAGTGACCAAGAGAGAAGCTCAACTAAGGGAGGAGAGTTGAAATGGGAGGGAACAGAGACTGATAGAGAAAAGACACAGAAGGGCAAACACTAAAGAGAGAAGGGAAGGACCAAGGGTTTCCTTTAAGAGTGTGTTTTGGGTCAGTCTGAAGAGGAAGAGCTGAGGGGCATCTACCAAGTCACATTGAGACAGAGATCCAGAGACAGCATCTGGAGACCCAGCCAAAGAAACAAAGATGCGATGCCCACCAGGCAGCCACAATTCTGAGCTCTCTCACCTACCTGGGAAGGTCTCACAGACCTCCTTCTCTGCAGACAGTTGGAGTCCTTACTCACCTCCTCCTCCCCTCCCACTTGCCCTCCCTAC